GAAAAGACATAATAACCTGCAGTTCGAAATTATTTCTCTAAAAGGTAATAGGCCCCTTACTCACAGCAACCAAATACGACCTTCCTCGCCAGGAATTCTCAACTCATAGCTTGCCCTGTTCTGTCATGCTAGATGTGCGCCAGCGCCCACGTTAAGCCAGCACTAGGATATTCCACCGTCAACAGCGCGTTATTCCAAAACAGGAGCTACGCCCGTAGCGATGACTCATCGGTCCGTCGCACAGATAGACGCACGTCATCACTGTAATAGAGACCACGGTTTTGTTCACAACAAGTTTGTGAGTAGCTCGCATCGCAGCTTCATCATTGCATTGTCTTGCGCTGAACAAGGAAACAACTCATAGCTTGCCCTGTTCTGTCATGCTAGATGTGCGCCAGCGCCCACGTTAAGCCAGCACTAGGATATTCCACCGTCAACAGCGCGTTATTCCAAAACAGGAGCTACGCCCGTAGCGATGACTCATCGGTCCGTCGCACAGATAGACGCACGTCATCACTGTAATAGAGACCACGGTTTTGTTCACAACAAGTTTGTGAGTAGCTCGCATCGCAGCTTCATCATTGCATTGTCTTGCGCTGAACAAGGAAATGGATATGCTGGTGGTATCCCGCTACTCGACGGTATTAAGGACTTGTTGGGTATCTGAAAGAACTGTCTTGTCTCTCAGAAATTTCCCACGAGGACCGTTAGCAGATTGCCAGAATTGTTAAGCGCAGGTCCAATCAGTAATCAGCAATTTTGACTGTTTCTATCTATCCGTCATTCGATCCTGCTCTTGATAGGAACTGAAGTGCGATGGCGCGTTAGGATAGCACCATTAAAGAATGGTTTCTTCAGGGATGGGTGATGAAGTAGTACATTTTTGGAAATAGTACGGCTAAAGGGGGGGAGGGCATCTGTGCGCACTCTTCCGGGAGATAATATATCCCGCGTTGATACATGAATGATACATTTCATTTTCACGGAAAGATAGATGGCGGTTCATTGGAATCTAAATCAACTTGGGTTCGCTTATCCGTACTGATGCCTGTAAAAAAAGTGTACAGATGCCTCACCTCGATGCCAAACATTCCCCTTTTTTCACCCTTGTCTTGTACCTTAGAAGTTTCCGGGGCCCGGCCCGGCTAATAAGTAGGACCGCAAGAGGTAGTTGCAAAAATTTCTATTTCCTATTCTAAATTCTATTCATTCTAAATTTCTATTATCTGCTTTCAGTGGTGACCTTGTTCACAGTGAAGACGATTCTAGTGACTATGGAGAGAATGGTATCCGCGAAAGTAAGTCCAATTTTGTAGAATTTTTTTAGTTTAGTGGGGCAATAGAAATCACAGAAATTGTGATAGTTGAGGCTTTTCGGCTACGTGGGGGGGGGCATTTTGCACTTTTGCTGTCAGGTGGAGACCTGTGAAGTTTTGTATAGTCACGAAATGACAGCAGTCAGGAGTTAGTAGAGACCACCTGTCCCCTCTTGGAAAACAATTAAATACCCTTCGTGTACCATACACCATGGTGGCTCGACGAGTTTATTTCACTTTCACATGAATAAATACGTTTCACTGGAGTGAGGATCGTAAAGAAACTACTGAAGCAGGAATGAACAGAATGCCCCCCCCGTCGCGGAATTGCGCCCGCTATTATTATAATGGCATCTGAAATAGCAATCATGTAGTGTCGTTAAAAACTGACCCTATGTGTAGATTTTTCGGGATTAAAGTGCATACCAGTCAGGAGATCTTTGACAGATATCACAGACGTCCTAAACCTAAACGTTTTCTCGCTTAACTAATGCGTATTATTACAGAATGGACCTCAGTTTTTTTGTTGGTTTTTAATATAAGCACTTTAATGTAAAAGTGTTCAGCTCAAGAATTCTCATAGTTTAACTCGTTATTCTCATCACAACTATGTTAAGATACCCAAAAAAATTTGATTGATGGAGGGAAGTGCGGTTGTCGATCGCTCTAACTTATAAGTTAGTGTAAAGACCAATTAGATGACTCATTTTGGTAGAATTGTGGAAGTTATTCAGATTTAGCTGGATTGTCGGGAGGAGGGGGAGATCTACGAGACCTTTGGCGCGAAGCTCCTATTGACGTAATCCGAGTGAAATGCCGAAGCGCCGTCCAAAGAAATCGGTTCATTTGGCCTTCACAGAGCGCGTTTTGCTTAAAGGCAGTTGGCACGATAAACCCCCCAAGACGACTAGGATCAGTACTGCTGGCAGGATAGAATTCCGCGACCCTGGGCAGGCGCTGCATAGCGGTTTCCCCCGAGAAAGGTGCCCTTATAAGGGCCCTGTAAGCCACAACTTTTCTATGTCTAAACGCCCGCCCGCCCGCCCACAAATGGACGACCGTTCCTGACGCTCGTATTCATTTGCTAAGCAAATTATGAAGCGAAGGGATTGGTATGAAGCGGCCGTGATGCTGCATGCATACATGGGTACACATATGCAGCCGTATCGGTAGCGGTGATTGGTAAGATGCCTACGGGAAACTCGTCCGAAATCGATTTACAAGTCACTGAGAACGGAGGCTTTTTCTTCGCAGGATTTTGACCGTTTCACTCCGTTCTTTCGCCATTTCCCCACTATACAGCGCCCTACTAGCATTTTAAGCTAAACGCCAACTGCCTTTAAGCCATCCCAAATCAGATTTGTAAAATAAGCGGCTAGGGTTCGGGACTTATTCGCAATCCCTGGAACTAGCTTTTGTTCGAATAAATTGATTTTACCATGATAGGCATTCGAATAATCTGAACAGGGGTCGCTGATTTTTGTTACAATGAAAACTGACGTGATGCGACCCTCTTTCAATAGAATGATGGTGGTGTTCCTGCTGAAATCTGTGATTTTCCGCTATTATGGTTGACCTGAGAAGCGAGAATCAATGATGCTTATGCCGTTCATTCACACCAAAAATAACTTTTTCGGCGGACTAATTTGCCACCAGTTAGGCTTTTTTCACTCTTGGAATCCTGGGATTGGGAAAGGGTGGCTTCTGGAAGCTACAGTGAGGTCCCGTTATGATCTTCCATACTGGCATTACGGTAGCGCTCTCCGAAACTGTGTAGATAACAAGATTTGGGTATGGACTTCAGACGCTCCGCGACTTGAGGTACCAGCCTAGAGATGGCTTAATTGTCTTCTGAGCGGTCAGAATGTCTGCTAATTCGGCAGAGTTGAGCTTCGTTGCGAAACAACGTCTAATAGATGCGAACATCGAAGACTGCCTGCTCCAAACTGCACGATCAATATCCACATGCTACGCCTGCATCTGTACTTTGGTCCACGATTGCAGCTGTATCGTCTTTGAGCTGTACCAGTTCGTATTAAATAAAAAATGGAAAAAGTAGAGCGCAGTTTTGCAACCAAGGAGGGTGCTTTTTGCACTTCTGCTTCTTCCCACAGACATGTCGAGCGCATCAAGCGTGAAATTCTGTGTAAGCTAGCGAAATGATAACCAAGCCTTAAAGCTCAATGTAAAGTAGGTGCTTGTCAAGCTGTTGTAAAGCATTTGATAAAATACCATGCCACTAGTACCATTTACCATGGTGCCTCGACGAGCTTACTCATGTCTCACAAAAGTTCACAGGTCTCACCAGAGCGGAACTTGCAAACCAAAGTGCAAAGTGCCCCCTCCGGTCACCGAACTGCTCCAAAAAAGTAATGGGCTATCAAGGGACATAGAGATCATTTATCCAGCAATGTGGCGAATGGGTCCGGCATTCCCCGCCTATCGTCTTAGGACACTTGTCGACCGCGGAGCCTCTCTTCTCTTTCTTTTTTCCCCTTCCTTTCCTTCCTTCCTTCTCTGTTACTTCCTCCTTTCAACTACTGAGCTAGTAGATGCCTCGAGAAAATAGCCCTGGACCCTTGCAGCGAGAGCACGTCTGGTTGACAAGTGCCCCGTAACCGTCTGACAACCAAATTGTGACCCTTCCGTAGATGGGCATAATATTGGTCCTATCGATGATGTTGCGCGCCGATCGCAGTTTGCCACGTCATGGCTGTTTTTGAACACGTGCTGTGGGGCAATTGTATTGTGGTCTCGCAGTTGTAGTACGATTTGTAATATTGAAAATTCGTGCGGACAATTTTATACTAAGAAGATGGTATATTGAATATTGGTTTCCAAAATCGAAGGGGTCCGTTTTGCCTTAACTCAGGCAAATCAATTTGTTCCGTCTGTCCACCGAAAATTGAATGATCCTCGAGTGAAGGCGGTGATCGTTTACCGGTCAATATTTCTTAGTGATTTTGTGATTTTGTACCAAAAGGTCCGCGCTGCCCTCAGTGAGTCTTTCATGTTACCGCTTCGGAGTTCTTTCCTTGTTTTCCCTCCCTTTCCCTCGCTTTAGATAATCAATCAATTTAAAATCAAGATTCTGAGCCTTTTTTAAAATGTCTCGCAAAGAGTCCCATCACTAGCAGTATAGGGAAAAATATGCTGCCTTAGAGGGCAGGAGATGGTGTAGTGACAAGTGGCGCGCTCACCACTACAGTCCTGGATTCAAGTCCCGGGCCGACTTCCCGCCTAGGCCAAGCAAGCCTTCTACCCTCCGGGGACCGGTAAATTGTAGGCCAGATTCGTCTGGAAGGATAATAACACTGACTTGTACATCGGCTGGCCCCCGCAAGTCATTGTATAGGCCACATCGCATTCAATAAGCCACTACGATTCTGAATGGAAGTAGAATGCGTCCCACAAAGGGATTGATCAACGGCGAAGACTTTATCCTTTTATCCTTTATGCTGCCGTAAAGCAAAAAGTTGGTGAATTCCTGAATGCTGGGTCCCCTTAACTCTATTAATCTGTTGCAGTTCTGATCGGGGACAGCATATTGTTGCGATTTCTTATTGTTCAGCACTTTGAGGTCGAACTGGACCTGAGGAACTTGAGTCAAACTTCTTCCACGCCGCTTTAGTTACTCGTTCTTTGCGGCAGAGCGTTATTTGCGGTGGAACAGAAAACGCTGATGAAGACAAGGCATCGAGGGTTGAAGCTAACGGAGCTGGACAATGGAGAGCTTCGATCGGAAATAAGCACAGGAATGTAGTCCTCACCGTTCCGATACGTTATTTCGATGGCTCATCGTGGTCGGATCCGCTTACCATCGGGGTGGAAGGGGGGGGGTCAATGATCATAAGGGACGGAAAGTTTGGTGACCCGGCTTAGTTCTATTCCTTCTAATTCTCAACTTGTGGCGTGACTCGGCATGGCTGTGTTTATACATTAATACCGGCAGTAGAGGAAGTATCGCTTGAGAAAGTACCGCTTATTGATTGAACTAAGCTTACAAGTTGAATTTGAAGAGCTACACACAAGCTCACCCCTCAAACACGCCCATTTTCAGACATTTTTATGTTGTTCTTTTGCATTTTTTTGGTTTTTTTTCTATAATATTCCTTTTTCAGTGTGTGGTTGTGGACTTCACCATCCATCGTGACGCATGTCGCCATTCATCCATTTCTTCACTTGAACCTGAAGATGAAGAACTCGACAATGAGAACTATGAGGTAGCACTGGTTTCACTAGGAAGTGGAACACACGGCTGTTGACAAAATATCGATTAATCGTGTGTTTTGAAGGAGAATGTTACGGAGCACGCCGAGGTTGAGATGTGTGAAAATGGTTGTCAAACAGAAGACAGTGGCGATATTGAAACTCAACAAATCGCTACGATTACACCAGCGCCCGTACCAGAATCGCCCACAATGTGCAATCATCACAACAAGGGAACGAGTGAGGGTGACATTCACGTGTCTTTTGCTGTCCATTGGTACCTTTACCGAATACTTTCTTTACAGCGACATGCCGGATCGGGAATAACGAAAGACTCACTATTTCGCGATAATGTTGCTAAAATGGCAGAGTCTACAGAAGAAGTTCTCCAGAAGATCATGCAGACTCGTGAACAACAGCCGGTCAGAACTCTTAGCAGAATCTTCTAAGATTTTTTCAGGAACAGTTTTTTCCTTTTTGTTGAAGTGGTCGTAAGATCCTTTTCTAAGCCGCGTCGTTTTTTTCCAGCAAGTGGAGAAAATCTCGGAAGCTGACCAACAACGTCTTCTTCAGTTCTGTATCAAAAATTTCGGCATCGATAACTTTGTGAGTTCTTTTTTATTCTGAATAATAGCTCTGGATCGCATCCCTATTCTTCTGTATATGAGGCGGGTTTCATTTACCCCAAAAATTCCATCTAGAAATGACTAAAAGAAAAAAGAAATGGGCCTGAAGGAAAGCGGTATGACTTGCTCTTCGTTTTGCACGGGAATCGATTGTTTGAGAAGAAAAAGGAATTCACCAGTGTTCTAGTATACCCTTGCTTGGGCTCACTTTTTGGCGAAAGAAGTTTTACGATTATTATTCGTTTCTTCATATGAGAAATGTTACAGTGAAAGCATATTTATGTCGCATACCAGCGCAGAGTAATATCCAGTTTTCGATTTTTTTTTTGGCTCTTTCACATTACTGTGTTAATGGAGACTTTGTCGCAGTGTCAGGACATGATTCCACCTGAACTTGCCGGCTCCGATGAGACGATGCGCTGTTTCACTGCCACGCTCAACGCCATCATGCAGAAACGTCTTGAAATCATCAGCGATGTGAGTATTTGGTTTTTTTCAATTTTTTAGGATATAGAAGGGCCAGGAGATCCGGGTCCCGGCATCGTGTGCAGTTCCGTCAGTACTGGTGGGTGTAGGTAGGATGGTGCGACTGACATTAGTACTAGGGTGTATAGGCCGTAATTGCTAGTCCTCCGTGTCTCTGCTTTTCATGCTCTACTCCGTACAACTTGTT